TGGCTTTCCAGAGATCTTTTGATATTTGCAGTACTAAAGCTTTTGTTTATAAATTTTAAATAGTTAACTTTATACATTATGGGGCTAGAGGTAAAGTTCAGTGGGAAAGAACTTGTCTAGCATATGCAAAGCCCTAGGTTCCATACCCATGACTATATAAATAAAAAATTATGTTCCTTCTTTTATTTTCTTTTAATTTTTGAACCACAATTAGAAAGATTTTTCCTGCATTTAATTTATAAAAAGAATATGTCTAAATTTTCTTTTAACAGTTATATAGCTTCATATTTTTACGTTTTGTTCTCTGATTAATTCAGAGTTTTTAAATTGTTTTTTGTATGGATACAATTTTTTCTTTCTCCAAGAGCCTATCATGGGTTGCAACACCATTTATTTGAAAAGTTCACTGATTTAATATGTCACTTTTATTATATGCTAAATATCCATGTGTACTTGAGCTAATTTTCAACTTTCCTTCCTTTATATTAATAACTATTTTTAGAACAATTTTACTCTTGCAGAAAACTTGAGCCTGTAAAACAAAGTTCGCTGTATGATTGAAATGATATTTACTAAAACATGATATCCATCTGTACACAGATTTTTCTATTATAAACATCTTACATTAGTATGGAACACTTACCACAATTAATTAAATAATGCTAATACATTATTTCTAACTAAAACCCATGATTTATTCAGACTGCCTTAGTGTTTACGTACCTAGTTTTTTTTCTGTTCCAGGGTCCCCTGCAGGACCCCACATTACATTTGATTGTCATGTTTCTTTAAGTTCCTTTTGTCTGTGATAGTTTTTAAAAAATTTCCCTGTATTTGATTACCTTGGAAATTTTTAGGAGCTCTGGTCAATTATATTACAACATAAAGTGCTATTAAGTGACATTGAAAAGTTTTTCTTCTTGTTTCTTGCTAGTAATCAATTTTTGTATATTAACATTTTATTCAGTGATCCTATTAAATAAATTCAATTCTTTAAAAAATCATAGAACTACCACATTTTTCTCCTCTTGATATTGTATTGTCAGATCTAAGGCAGATCTAAGGCAAGTGGCCCTGAAAAACTTCAGTTTGGGGAAATTTGCATATGGAGCACTGTACAGAATTTCTCTTCCTTTTCTCCCTCTCCTGCAGGCCTTCATGGTCCCCCTGGGATCATGCCTAGAAACAAAGTTTGTGTTCTTAGTTGAGCACTCAAATCCATTTCAATTATTTTATATATCTTTAGTCATTATACTTCTCATTCTCACCACTATGGTCTTTTTTTTTCCTATTTATCTCATGGATCCAAAATAATGACATCATAATTCCTTACATAGAAACAAAAGATGAAAGACTATTCCCCAACCCCAATGAGCCTTTTATTTTGAACCCATGACTCCTGAGGTACCCAGGGGAGCAGAGAGAGAAGAGTATCAAGGCTTTTGATGAAGTGAAAATCTTTTGTCAGCTTCAAAGTGTTTGAACCTGTAAGATTTTGAAGTAAATCTAACTGAATAAAATTTCAGATGCCTCAGATGATTGTGAGGGCTGTAAAGTGCATCATCTCTTCAAATAACCAGCACCTGAATTATACTGAATCTGACAAAGAACATCCATCTGTGCATCAATCAAATACTATCAGGCATAAGAAACAAAAAGAGAAGAAAGAGCCCTTTCCCACTCATGACAGAAAGGGGGAGGGGACATCAGTTGAAGGTGTGCATGGCCAGGGATATATGCAATTACTTCTTTAGAAGAATTCAGTGAGTGGTTTAACAATGGTCCAGTGCCTACCAGAGGATGTGTGGTATAAATCCCCTTCCAGGCCTCAAAGTAGCACAGTCGTTCCTCTGTCCCATCATTCTGAGATTTGAGTGCCTGAGTTTCAATTCAGGTTCCACCTCATACTAATAATGTAGCCTTAGGGAACTATGCAACCTCTTCATGCTACAATGTCCTAATTGGTAAAATGAAAAGGAGAATTAATAATAATAGATCTACTTCACTGCATCTCAGAAAAAGTAAGCCAGCTAGAGTAAAAACACTTAGGAGAGTGTCTGAAACATATCAATAAGTGTTCAATAAAAATTAGGCATTATTATAATAATTATTAATTCTGATCATCATCAGGGCAATATTATTAATCATGATCATCATCACAATATCAATTTTCTCCCCAGCCTGACTGATAAGGATCCCACTCATCTGAAAAGAAATTCTCAGGGTCACAAGTCAAAAGAAGCCTGCATTTCTTTATTTTTGGTGGGAATGGGGTGGAGAGGAGGGATATGAAAAAAATATCAATTTTGTGTTTTAGATTCTAAAAACTGTCCCAGACACTTGCAGAAGACTAATCAGCTCCCAGACACATCTAGGTCCATTTCCTCACCCCCATCCTGGTTTCTTTCCCACCTTGTCGCATCCTAGAATTTGTTGGTTGACTCTGAAACTGCAAAGATCAGATTCACACCAGTACAGTTGATTCGTGGGCTTACTGAGAGTTTAGTAAGCAGATCCATAAAGAAATGAAATGTCCTCTGTGTTTCCAGAAGTGAAGACACTTTAAGATGTTTGTGTTGATAATTTTCCTTCCCCTTCAAACCTGAGGGTCTAAGCCATCCTTGGTTCAAGTCCTAGCCCTGGATGCTGACCTAGAGCACAAAGTCCCAGCCCTTCCCCTGCTGAGGTCGGGCTGGCGCTGCGAGCTCTCCAAGGTACCCAAGGCCGGGACCCATGAAGTGTAAGGAGGATCCACAGGGTGGATAAGACAGGGTGGAGAGATTGAAACCCGCTCCAGGAAAGCCCTGGAGTTTTGCAGATGAAGTACTTTGCTCGAGTTTCACAGGCATTTCTGCATTTATTCTGATTCCAACGTGTGGTCGTCACACACGCGTATCCCAGGGTTTTCCCATGCATCTCAGGCTCCGCTTTATGCAGTCTGTTCTTGCACAAATGATGCACAAACCTGCCACAAAGGACGGCAGGAATGTGTTGTGAGAAACGGACTCCTGCTCAGATAGTCTTTAACGAT